TGTGTGTGTGTGTGTGTGTGTGTGTGTGTGTATATTAGTGCAAAGTATCATTTCAGTAATATTTATTTAGAGAACAATACCTACACTTTCAGATATATATTATTTTCCATAGTTATTTCTAAATCATTCAAGGCCAAATAATATTTTAATTTATATATAAATAAATTCAGTGTGTCTCCTGGGGGCCAAGCCCCCCTTGTCCTCTAAACCTAGTGACACCCCTGAAGCCAACTATAAGAAACAATTCAGTTGATACCAGTGTGTATGAATGTGCTGAATGAACTACCTCTGTACCAGAAGCTCTCCTCTTGACATTCTTTCCAGACTTTCCTCACATCTTCTCTGTGAACATGAGCGTCACTCAGAGGGCACTGGAAACACACACAGGATGTTGGAGACAGTTCAAAGGACCACATAAACCCAGGGACAGTTAGGAAGAGTCTCACCTTCCAGCCTCTCCTCCCTGCAGCTGAATCAGTCTTCAGTGGTGCCTCAGTGCTCATGCTGCTGGTTTACACTCTGACCCTGCTCTACTTCTGCTCTCACTCACTCTGATCTGACTGGCTGGCTTCCTCCCTGAACTACCTTTAAACCCCGCCCCCTTAAGAAAACACTCACATACTTTCTGTTTGCTGCTGTTTCGACATACATATTCGACTATTCGACAAATAAAACAAGAACAATAAACACCAGCAGAGTCATTAAACCTGCTTTGTTCCAGTTGAAGTCAACCTCTGCACATACATCTCCTCCTCATAATAACGCCGCTCCTTTGTTTACAGTAGATATCATCACTAATCTCTAAAGGTGTGTGTAACAAATACGCATGTGCCTTTCTGTTAGCAGAATATCTCATGAATCACTGGACAGATTTTAATGAAACTTTCATGAAATAATTATTGGATGAACATCCATTAAAACTAATTGTCCTCTGAAGAGGTGTAAAGTAACTAAGTGCAAATACTTTGTTACTGTAGTTAAGTAGAAATTTTGGTTATCTGTACTTTATTTGATTAATCATTTTCCAGCCTATTTTTTACTTCTATTTCTTACACTTTCATGCAAATCCTTACATTTTTAAAAAATGGTAAGAAGTAAAAAGATGTTAGTCCTGTTTCATTTTGGCTTGTTCTCATTCAGGCTTGTTATTGTTAATAAAAGCTATCCAGATAAATTATGCCTCCTGGATAAAGTGAATTTAATTGTGGTTGGATGAGAAATATAAATATATACTGTTCTGACACCGTATTACTTTATACACAATCATCACAGCTGCACATGACACAAAGCATGTCACACTCAGCAGCACATRGCAGACATATAGCTCATATACATACAGTATATACACTGCTCAAAAAAATAAAGGGAACACTTAAACAACACACGATAAGTCCAAGTAAATCAAACTTTTGTGAAGCACATTCAACTCTGTACAGAACAAAGTACTCAATGTGAATATTTCATTGATTAAGATCGGGAGTTAGCGTGCGTTGTTCAAGCGCTCCCTCCACCCTTCCGAGCAGCAGTGCCCCCCCCATCCTCCCGAGCAGCGTACATATACACATAAACCTACCCTTACCTACATATCCAAACACTTTCATATACTGTATATATACAT